TTATTTTTAAAGTGTTAAAAACTTAATTAATTTATTCCTCTCCAGTGTGGGCCATCCCTTCGTGGGCGACTATGTGCGACTGCGACACAATCAGCAGTGGAAGAAGATCTGTGCCGAGACCAACGATCAGTACGTTGTTTTCGCAGACATAATCAACAAGATAGCGCGCTCCAGCGGAAAGGTAAGCAGGGAAATTTGATTATCAAAAGGAATATTAACACAAATGATGGATTGTTTTCAGTTTGTTCCCATTTTGCTGGTGCTGTCCACCTCATCGCTTCTGCTGTTGGACCAGCGAACGCTGCAAATCAAGTACAGAGTGCCTGCATCGGAGATTTACCGAATGTCTCTGAGCCCTTATCTAGATGACATTGCTGTGTTCCACGTGAAGGCGGTATTTAATGGTTACTTCTATATTAAAAGCAAAGATTAATGTATCGTTTTTTTTCCAGTCTGAATTTGGACGGAAGAAGGGAGACTTTGTGTTTCAAACGGGTCATGTTATTGAAATTGTGACCAAAATGTTTTTGGTCATACAAAATGCCACAGGCAAACCGCCGGAGATACACATAAGCACTGAGTAAGGGCTAACAAACCACAGACTATTTGTAGCCACTTCTTATATCCTTTACCCTGCAGATTTGAAGCAAATTTTGGCCAACAGACTGTCATCTTCTCGTTCAAATACGGTGGCATGTCGGACTTAGCACAAGGCCCGCCCAAGGTCACGCGCAAGGCGAACCGCATGGAGATAATTGTGTGATCCGCGACAGAATCAGAACCAGAATCGAAGTCGAAATCTAATCGTGGCAGCTCATTGAGTCTGCTGCTGCTATCATCTTCGTCGCCTTAGGCAGAACTCGGGTTCGGCGGTCCGTATCCAAAATTCTCACCAGTCATCATGCAACTGCAATTACCATTGCCCTTTGCTGAGAGACCCCAAGTCTCTCGACTTTCATATGTGGTCCCAGGGATCAAAATACAATTTTAGCAATATATTAACACACACACTCAACTCACATCACACTCACCACTTAGTTTTGTTCACAAGTGACAATCAGAGTAACCAATTTGTTGTCAAGATTGTGCCAAAAGCAGGAAACTAGAAGTGTACCAAGGAGGAGAGCGAGCTAATTTTAAACTGCACCGTTTTATTTAACTATCTAAATGTTAAGTTATAGAAGGCGAAGGAAACTAACGAAGTGAACAACTGAATTTACGCATCTAATTTGTCGAACTAGGTTTAAGTGTAAGTCATGCACCAAGTCGATTAGCATTGCAACAATAAGAATAGTAAGAAGGCACAGGAGTGGCGGACGCAGGTGCTGGATGGGCAGTGTTTGGGATTTTACACAAACTATGATATTTCCGTTATAGAAACCAAGGCATTTCTCTTACATTTAAGGTTTCATACACAATAATTAGTGAACTAATGCTAGAGAACAGACATATAAACCTCTTTGTATACCGGAAACACAAATGGAACCCCAAATATATGCAATTTGCCGCGACTTAGAAAGAAAGACAACTTTTCCCAAGCAAAAAAAAAATGTTAAACAACTATTTACAAAGCAGAGCAGATGAGTAGTTAAATATTTCAAATAAATAAATATATATATATATATGTATACACCATACGAAATTAATAATGAGTCTATATAGAAGCGACAACAATATGGGAAAAAACACAAGTGTTTGTTACATGTTGAGAACGAATGTATGTAGTTGTTTATATATAACTTGTTATTGATAGTTCGGACATCTGCGTATTTCAAGGCTACCGGCTGCAGAACTCCAAGTTTTTATTTGTATCTAAGTTTTAAGCGAATACTTCGAAAGAAAAGCCAAATATGAGTAAATCGAAACCCAACCAGTTGGTAGTTTATAAAACAAAGTTTAGCAATAATAAAACATACACATAGTAAATTGTTTTCTAGGGGAGCGATCCGCTTACAACTTGGACTTTGGCTTCTTGAGCATGTCGCGCAGAATGCGACGCAGGATCTTGCCGCTGGGGTTCTTGGGAATTTCGTCCACGAAGATCACGCCGCCCCTCAGCCGCTTGGCGGGCGAGGCGTTGTCGTTGACGAACTGGATTACATCGCTTTCGGTCAGCTGAACATTCGCCTGTTTGACGACAAACGCCATCGGCAGCTCACCGGCCTCCTCGTCCGGTTTGCCAATAACCGCGGCATCCTTGATCTTGTCGTTGGTCAGCAGCAGAGACTCAATCTCTGCGGGCGGCACCTGGAAGCCCTTGTACTTGATCAGCTCCTTGATGCGATCGACGATGAAGAACTCGAACTGATCATCGTAGTAGCCAATGTCGCCGGTGTGCAGCCAGCCATCCTTGATGGCCGTCTGTGTGGACTTCGAGTCGCCGATGTAGCCCTTCATGATGCCGTCGCCCTTGAAGCACAGCTCTCCGCGCTCATTGGCGCCGAGCAGCTTGCCGGTATCGGGATCGATCACCTTGGCATAGATGCCCACCTTCAGCACGCCCACACTGCCGGGCTTGCAGAACTCATCGTTCTGGACGAGCACACTCAGCGTGGACTCGCTGAGGCCGTAGCCCTGTCGGATGAACGGCACTCCGATGCGCTCCTTGATCTGATCCTCGGTCTCGCGACTCAGAGGTGCGGCGCCGCACAGCAGGACCATTAGCGAGGACAAATCGTACTTGTCCACGATGGGGTGCTTGGCCAAAAAGACCATCAGCGGCGGCACCATGAACGCCATCATCACGCGATACTTTTCGATGGCGCCGAGGAAGAGATTCTCCTCGAACTTGGGCAGGTAAACCAGGCGGGCGCCGCGGCAGGCGGTGGTGATGAGCGTCAGGCAGCCGAAGGCGTGGAACCAGGGAATCACGGTGAGCAGAGTGACCTCCTCCATGGGTATGATGGTGGGCTGGCTGTTAAAAGGAGGGAATTAACATTTAGCCTTGGTAAATAACCATTTAAACTTACATTTGCGAGTCGAGCGTGGCCAGAAGATTCATCTGGGTGAGCTGCACGCCCTTGGGCAGTCCAGTGGTTCCCGAAGAGCACACAATCAGTGAGACATCCTCATCCTTGTTGGCTGCGGGGCTCGTAAAGTCCGGCTGCGTTTTGAACTTGTCATTGTCCATCAGCTCCTTGAAATCGTAGATGTTCTTAAAGTACTTCGAATTTCCTCCAAAGGCGATGATGCCCTTAACGAACTTGTTCTTGCTGGCCGCCTTGGCCACCCGATCGATGGTGATCTTGGAGGCGAATATGATCTTGGGCTTGGACAGATTGATGGCGTGATCCACCTCCCGATCCGAGTAGGTAACGTTCAAAGGAGCCACGGTGGCTCCAACTGCAAACCCTGCAAACATGGCCACTGCAAAGTTGACGCTATTCTCGCTGGACAAACCGACGACATCGTTCTGCTTGACTCCCAGCTTCTGGAGGATGTAGGCCAGCCGGACAATGGATTTGTGCATATAACTGGCCGTGTATTCCACTCCATTGACGGCATCCACCAGCACCGTTTGGTCGCCGAAGCCCTTGTACTTGTCCAGGACATACTGGCCCAGGGATCTGTAGTCCTGGGCCTCGCGTTCGGTCACAGGACCTCCATATACTATATTTCCGGGCAGCAGAGTAGAAGTCATTTTGGCCTGAAAATGGGAATAAAATGATAGTTAAGGTTTTGCATTTTATAATGGGTTATTAAAGATAGATAACACTCTTTTTATACCAAAAATTATTCCACTATAAGTACGTTTTCAGGGCGTAGGTAGTTTTTCCCAGTTTTTCAAAGAAAACTAGCCTGGGGGTGGAAAGTTAAAGCAACCCTTGGAAGCGAACACACTATAATTGCCACACTTTGAACCCCCCGGGCTATCTAATCGTAGATCTTCCACTTTTACCGAACTGGCCATCGATGTTAACAATGTTCCCTGCTATCTGAGATAGGGGATTATAGAAAATCTGCATGTTTGCCAGTCCAGGTTCCAAAGGTCGTAGTTCGCCGCGATTCAAGTGACATTTTCCGGCTTCCATTTGCATTATCGTATCGTATCGAGTAAACACCAATTAAACCTTGTAATGTTTATGTTTTACACCGCTAATTCATGCCATATCATTAAGGCATAGGCCCTCCTGCCGATCCACATCCACTTACGGTAGTCACCTCTTCTGGTTTGCGATGCGAGCGGGAGCGGCTTCGGTGCGAAACTAACCGTTCGTCGGAGGATGGCGAGGCGGAATATGTCAGGCTGCGTTCGCCGCACGATTAGATTAACGTATTTGATAAGTGCGGCGGTTCAAGTGCGCACGCGCGAGCAGCGGCTGTGTTTTTTCATTCAAAGCAAACGAAAAGTGCAACGGAAAATGGGTCAGGGGGTGGTGGGGGAAGAATTCGCGGAAAAACAACAGACAGCTGTTTCGAATCTTCACTCGATAACTGCTCATTCGATAACTGTCAACGCTCTGGCAACTGACAGTCTGGCAACGCCATGTGCTTATTTTTATTTATGTGCGGTACAATGAGGTTTGTAGGGTATATTTATTTGTTGGAAGGTTTAAGATTTAAACTTAAAATAATTATTTCACTTAAATATTCTTAATATATACATTTAATATACATACATTTGCTGACTTGCTATAAAAAATGCCTTAAAAAATAAATTCTCTATTTACAATGGTAACATTCTCTGTATAAGTAAAATATTACTTACCATTTCTAATTAATTTCTAGCACGTTCCATTATGAAAGTGTAGTGCACTCGCGAGTCTCCTACGATCGTTTCGCTGGCGATCTGATTCACGGATTCCTAACACGCATCGGAATGGAGTAATAGCGCAAATATAGGAAATATGCCAGCCAGCAGTACTTAGTTGTTGATATTCTTGGGCGTGGAGCAGAGGTCCGTACTATTTTCGCAGAGCGCGCCTCCAGATAAACGTAATCAGCGTGGTATTTTCGATCGCACGGCCTTTAATCGTTAATATCTCGTTGGTAGGTGACGCCCTTAAACAGCACAGAGAAACCATGTCTGCGTCCATAACAAAGAAGTTCTACAAGTTGGACATCAACCGGACGGAATGGGAGATCCCGGAGATATATCAGGAGCTGCAGCCCGTGGGATCGGGAGCCTACGGACAGGTTTCGAAGGCCAAGGTGCGGGGCACCAACATGCATGTGGCCATCAAAAAGCTGGCCAGGCCCTTTCAATCCGCCGTCCATGCCAAGCGGACGTATCGGGAGCTGCGGCTGCTGAAGCACATGGATCATGAGAACGTCATAGGATTGCTGGACATATTCAATCCGCATCAGGCGAACGCTTCGCTGGAGAACTTCCAGCAGGTCTACCTGGTCACCCACTTGATGGACGCCGATCTGAACAACATCATACGGATGCAGCACCTGTCCGATGACCATGTTCAGTTCCTGGTCTACCAGATACTCCGCGGCTTGAAGTACATCCACAGCGCGGGAGTGATCCATCGTGACCTAAAGCCCTCGAACATTGCAGTCAACGAGGACTGCGAGCTGAGGATTCTAGATTTCGGATTGGCGCGTCCCACGGAGAACGAGATGACGGGCTATGTGGCCACGCGTTGGTACCGCGCCCCCGAGATCATGCTCAACTGGATGCACTACAACCAGACGGTGGACATCTGGTCGGTGGGCTGCATCATGGCGGAACTTATCACCCGACGCACCTTGTTCCCCGGCACCGATCACATCCACCAGCTGAACTTGATCATGGAAATGCTGGGCACGCCACCGGCCGACTTTATGAAGAAGATCTCCTCGGAGAGCGCACGCTCCTACATCGCCTCACTGCCGCCCATGAAGAGGCGCAGTTTCAAGAAGGTCTTCGAGAACGCCAACCCACTGGCCATCGATCTGCTGGAGAAGATGCTGGAGCTGGACGCCGAGAAGCGGATCACCGCCGAGGAGGCACTAGCCCATCCGTACCTGGAGAAGTACGCGGAGCCCAGCGACGAGCAGACATCGCCGCCGTACGATCACAGCTTCGAGGACATGGATCTGCCGGTGGACAAGTGGAAGGAGCTGATCTACAAGGAGGTCACCAACTTTAAGCCGCCGCCCTCGTTTGCTCAGGTTCTCAAGGATGTCAAGTGAAACCCCATAAGGATTTCAAGTATTAAACAGGGCCATTTATTTTTTATACCGTTTTATATTTACTTATAGCTTTGTTCAAACGATGCCTTTTGTACTCAAATGTAGTTTTCCTGTTTTGTACGATGTTTTATCAATTTATTATGGCTTGCCACTAATGTTGTACTGTAGATTTTACAATAAATTCGTTTTTCAAAAAACAAAGTTTTTCAAAATGTCACGAAATTAACTCAATTGATATGTTTCTTGATTGGTTTATTTTCGAATTGACTTTGTTTATCTTCTCTGTTTATATTTTCTGGTCGTAATGTTGTAAGTTACAATAAATTCGATTTTCAAAAAAAAAAAAATTTTCCAAATGTGACGAAATATTGCAATTTTGATTCAATTGATATGTTTCTTGATTGGTTTATTTCCGAATTGACTTTGTTTATCTGTGTTTATATTTTCCGGTCGTAAAGAGAGCTAAATGACTAACTTGCTGATTAGATTCCGAGAAATCTTTGATAAGAATTGCATTTAAGGGGTAAGTACGCAATTCCGTAATTTCAGTATACTTTCTATTGTCGAACTTTAAAGATATTTTTTGACAGAATGGCGCGATTCACGAGAGTTCAAGTAAATCAAAGCACTTGGGAGTTTCCAGACATATACGAGATCGTGAGGCCCATGGGCGAAGGTTCCTTTGGTCAGGTGGCCAGGATGAGGCTACTTGGCGGTCAAATGGATGATGTGGCCATGAAGAAGCTGGTGCAGCCTTTCGAGAGAGAAGAGGATGCCAAGGGCGCCTATCGCGAGATTCGCCTGCTGAAGCACATGGATCACCGGAATGTTATCAGCCTGCTCCATGTTTTTCATCCCCCGCTGCAAGGGAACGATTTTCAGCAGGTCTATCTGGTGACTCAACTGATGGACGAGAACCTGCACAGATTTTCCCGCTCAAACAGGATCTCCCAGTACCAAATTAGGTACATCCTCTACCAAATATTGCGAGGTCTAAGGTACATTCACAGCGCCGGCGTTCTTCATCGCGATCTGAAGCCCGGTAATATAGCGATTAATCAAAATATGGAGGTGCGAATTCTCGACTTCGGTTTGGCCCGTTTGTCCAGCAAAAATATGTCGGACTATGTTGGAACCGTTTGGTACCGGGCCCCCGAACTGCTCTTCCTCCGGGATCAGTACACAAATGCCATCGATATGTGGTCTGTCGGTTGCATCCTGGCGGAACTTATCTCTGGTCATGTCCTCTTTCCTGGCGACTGCTATTTTAATCAACTAGAGCGCCTGCTGGACATAATGGGCTCGCCGTCGGAGGAGTTCATCAGCGGCATAAACATGAAGCATTCTCGTAATTACCTGGAAAAGTACGGCTATCGCGAAAAACGCCACTTTCCGCAAATGTTTCCGAATGCCGATCCTTTGGCCCTGGATTTGATGGAAGAAATGCTGGAAATGCTTCCCGAAAACCGTATAACAGCGGATGAGGCCATAAATCATCCATTTCTTAGGGATTTCATTGAGCCTCACCATCGTGACGAGGACCTCGCACCAGCCTATGATCAAAACTTTGAAAATATGGTACTCCCTGTTAATTGCTGGAAGGAACTTATTTCCCACGAAATTCAGAATTTTAGACCACCTCCATTTTATGCGGAAGCTTTGGAAAGGTCTTATATGCAGCAGTAGCCTTAAACTTATGAAAATGAATAACATTATGAATAAATAAAACATATATAAATAATAAAGATACATTTTTAAAAGTAGCTCGAAATCGATTTTAAAACTTAAAAAAAAGTTGATAAACGAATTTTTATATTTAATTACAAATTAAATTTTTTTCAAATGAATTATAAATTATTATTTTCAAATAAAAAGTAACGACTTCCGGTGTGAGAATACCCCTAACAAATAATCTAGATCTGGCAACGCCGGTAACAGCTGACTCTGCCGGTTGCTTTTGTTGTTGCACTTTTGATCATAACAAAAATGTTGAGCTTTAGCAAAGTATTAAAAAACTGCCTTTCGGCCAGGAAAACGTGCAGCAGGCGCATCTCGGCCCTCTATATAACCGGCGACAAGGCCAACGAGAACTATGTGACTCTGCAGCCGTATCTGGACTTCAAGGGAACCTTCAGCGACCGCCAATCTTTGGAGCACAGCATCGCCAGCCGGAAACTGGACATTCGATTGGAAACGGTGCTCGGCAAGTACGAGAAATATGGGCGGCACCACGCCCAGCTGGCTAGGGTCTCCGAGGAGCGGGAGGCGGTGACCAGGCAACTGAAGGAGCTAACCAAATCCGGCGGCAGTGCGGAGCAACTGGAGGAGCTGAAAGAGCGTGGGAAATCGTTGCGCAACGATCTAAAGTCTCTGAAGCAGGCACTCTATCCCATCGAGGATGACTTTATACATGACTACCTGCACCTGCCCAACCGCCTGCATGCAGAGTGTCCCACTGGCGGCGAGGAGAAGCTACTCTATCGACATGGCTTGCCTAAAACGGAACTAAAAACCACCTCCCACTTGGAACGCCGGGAACTTGTACACTTTGTGGACAACAATCGGTATTATATGATGGAGCAGGCTGCTCACTTCGATGTCAATGCCATGCAATCCCTGACCCGGTACTTTGTTAACCAAGGGGACTTCATCCAAACAGCCAATCCGGACTTTGTGCGTTGTGTTCTCCTGGAAGCGAATGCCACACCTTTGAACGACTATCATTTGGTGCAGGAGGAGCATTTGCAGAACAAGATCAACACCGCCTTTCTGACCGGCGGAGCCTCCTTCGAGAGCTACCTGGGCGCCATGACCAAGCTGTGCGTCTATCCCTCCGTGCTGCCCCTGCGTTATGTGTGCTGTGGTCGTAGTTACAACAAAGCGGAAGCGGAGTTATATGGACCTACGCCCAGTCTTTATACGGCGACCCAAACGAATGCGGTGCAGAGCTTTGTGGCCACTCAAACGGCGCAGGAAGCGGACGCCCAACTAGAGCACATTCTCAGTCTAGCGATTGACTTTTACAAAGCTTTGGATATTCCCTTCCGGGTGGTTTATGCTCCAGCAGAGGCACTCACTCCCTCGGAGAGTCTCCGGGCAGTCCTGGAGGTATATGCACCATCGCTTCAGCGCTACGTTTGCGTGGGAAGGATCAGCAACTATGGAGACTTTGTGTCCAAGCGGATTCTCTTCAGCACAAGGCGAGAGAAGCACTACGATTTCCTGCATCTGGTGGGTGGACCCGTGCTATACACCTCCCGTCTAATAGCAGCTCTTCTGGAACACGGCATTCGCCTCGAAGACTGCAAACTATTGGGTGCCACTAACCAGAAACCCACTCATCAGCAGGACTTGCAGCAGTTCAAGGACCTTTTCACGTAGAAAACGATCTTTGTTTGTTTCCAGGTGTCCTTAAGTCTAACAATAAGTAAAAGTTAAGTTTTACATACAATTATTTACAATCTAGTGTAATCTCATGGTCAGCAGTGGGATTAGCAGTGGGCTAATCGCTACACTTGATCTGCAGCTTGGGGAATCTCTTGCGGAAGTTCTCGCACTTGGGCGTGGTGAAGGTGAAGACGTTCCTCGAGTCGTCCAGCACGGAATTGGGACTGGATCGCGGTACCCTCAGCACATAGGTGGTGTTGTACTTGAGCTTGCTGAATTCGAGAGGGTCCCGCTGCAATTATAAGGAAAAATAGATTAGTACACCTATGCCATATCCCCATTTCCCTTCATCATTTCGAATGGCATTCAAGCATTTTGATTGGCATTTGGCCACGTACTGGCTATTGGTTAGACGTGTTTTTCGTGTCAAAAGGAGGAAACACGATTGCGCCTTGTAAAAACAATACCCCATGGTCAACGATGTTCCCGGTGGTCCGGCCAATCGGCACGAAATATTCCGACATGTGGCTCGTGGCTTCCATCATCAACATCATCAAGGGTATTACTTACTTTGGCGCGAATCGCGCGGAACTCTCGCTGCTCGCAGTTCGTCTCCTGGGGACACAGTTCATAGACCCTGTGATGAGGCATGAAATCTCTGCATTTAGTTGCCCGAAAATGTCTGTTTACAAATTGTACTCACTTCTCCTTGTGCGGCTGGAAGCCCAGAATCTGCACAATCATGCCGAACTTCCGGTTCAGCCGGAAGCCCACTTCATATGTGGTCGCCGCCGCGGTCCGGTTCGCAATATTGGGCGAAATCTCATTGAGGCCAGCGGGCGCCGGGGTCGTGACCCGTTCCGAACTGATGGAGCTGCTAATGTGATGGTGCCTGCGCCTGTTCCCGTTCCCCTGACCGGAGCACTGGAGCGGTGTGATGGGCTCCAAAGGCTGCAGCGTCGTGTTGAACAACATGGACAACTTTTCGGACTTGAGGCGACGCGAACCTATGTACGAGATGGCCTGCACCTGGATGTAGTACGAGGAGTTGGCCAGTAGTTTCTTGATCTCGAACTGATGGGTCTGAAAAAATCAGAAGTTAATTGATATGATGATGCCACCCAAAAAAAAACTTGATATGATATGAATATCGATTTTACGTTATGTGGTATTAATTTTGACTTGATATGCTCGAATAGCAATCCTGTTCGAGTTTCGAACATGTCTTTCTCCCTCCCACTCATCTAACCTTAAGCGCTATCTGGCTCTATTTCGAATCTCCAAGAGAGAGAAATGGGTATGAAGATCGATTTTACGTTATGTGGTATCAATGTGGTATCGAAATGTATTTAACAAGCCATTTCAAATTAGAAAATGTCTTTCTCCCTCCCACTCATCTAACTTTAAGCGCTATCTGGCTCTACTTCGAATATCCGAGAGAGAGAAATCGGTATTGCATGGTAAAAACGATATGCCAGAAATTTACCATGCGCATATCGATTTAACCACGACATATTTTATTCTGTGTATCCCAAATAAACTCACATCTTTAACATAGGTGTCCAGCGTGATCATCGAGGCCTCTGCACTATTCACATATAAAGACCAACTGATCTTGTACTTCTCCACGGGCAGGTTCGACTTGGAGGGACACCAAACCAGCTTCACGTTCATGTAGCGTCCATCAAACTGCTTGGCGATGATTTTGGAGTCGTTGGGCGCTTTCGGTGGCTTGGGATCTAAGGGGTTATAGCGTGGTGTGGCTCAAGGTTAGAAGGGAAAGACCAGATTAAGCTACTCACTGCCTGTTGAGGGAAAGGGATCGCTGGGCTCTGAGTATCCCCGGAAGCCAAAGGCATTGACGGCAGCCACTCGAACCTGGTACCAGCGTCCTGGTCGCATATGAAAGAAAATGTAGGTGCTGTGGGAGAAAAACCTATTGGAAAAGGAATTCTATGGTAAGATCCAAAGTTCAACTTACTGCTTGCTGTGTCCTATGTTCTCCTCCATGGTCTTCTCCACCTTCTGCCACTGCCAAGGTCCCAGTTTCCTTTCCGCAAAGTGCTTGCCTATGTGGAAACGCACCTCCACGTGGAAGTAGTAGACCAGCAGCGAGGATTCGATTTTCAGATCCACGGCATGTCCTCGGGATCTCCGAAAGTACAGGATCCTGGGTATTGGCGGTAGCTGTGTGTTGTTCCTAACGCCCAGCGGTTCCACGCACATGGGACCACAACTGGAGGCACAGCACTTCTGCACCTCGGGGCATTCATGATCGTACTGGCAGTTGTCCAGGCAGGAGAGCCTCGCCCGCGTCTGCCTGCCGATTTTGGGGCAACTGCCTGCCCTGGGTCCCAGCAGCAGCTCCTGGATGCACTTGTCCAGGCACTGATCTCGGCCACTGCCGCACTTGGCCAGGCACTGCAGCTCCAGAATCTTATCCTTGACATCGTTACTATCCCGGAACCAGTGGGCCACCTTCTGTCGCTGCAGTTGATTGGATGTGGAGGATGTGGATGTGGAGGAGCTGAAGGAGGAGGCTCCTAGAACGAGCAGCGCCAGCAGCGCCACTTGCATGCTGCCCATCCTCGGCGATTGCAATCTGCAAATGATCAGGCGTCAGGTGATCAGATCTCTCGGTTTCTGGACATTCCGTGCGTTCGTAATTTGTGCCGATCATCAGCAGCAGCAGCAGCCCGCTGATTATGCTGAAGGATCACCCCCGCTCAGCCACCCCTTCGCCTCGATCTCGGTGGGAGCCGGCAACCGGTTTCACCCATTTTGCATGACCAACTAACTAATCATTCCTCGCATTTGTGCCCCACCGACCGACCCCGAAGTCGAGGCAATGAAAATGCAAAAAAATACATAAATGTATCTCAAGTGCTTGACAGGACTTCAAAGCGCGCATCATAGTGCGTGCCACGAGAGCATCGGACGGACGGCCAGACGAGGCCAGCTATCTTCATTCTGGGATGACTCCTTGATGCCCTACTCTCTAGTGGTTCGGTTGTAGAGGAAGGAACTGCAGGGTCTTAGGTTTATTGGTGGTTAAGTAAGAGTATTGAACAGATTTGATGTAATTCATGATGATATAATAGATGTTATTGGTTCTATTACTTAAAAATTTATAGGGAGCCATCCTATCTTTAGTTTATTAATTTTAAATATTAAAAAAATATATTAGAGTGTTACCTTAAATTAATTTATATAAATGTTGTATCCTTTAACACCTTTATTGTGAAGTTTTATCATATTTTTTTAAGTTTGTGTAGTTTCTACTTGGATCTTTCATGATGTACCTATTATATTTATAATATTACTACCGACTTTGATAGACTTCGAAAAAGTATTTGAAATAGTTTCCAATTGAAACGTTTTGCAAGTGTAGAGATCTTCGCACCTTTCTAAATACTGACAGCTTCTTTCGTCTTAATTTTGCATCGCCGATTCCTGGAAGCCTAGAACCTCGAAGTTCTTCACCTGCTTGCCGTAGAGCCCATCAATATATCGATGTGCTCGCATCGATTCCATGTAGGGTATTTAGCACGCAAATGGGAAACTAATGTTTTATGGTATGGTCGATGGTCGTCGGTTTATGTTGTTGTTTTGGTTTTTGTTGCCGTTCGACTGCGTGTGAATGTGCAGGCAGCGAAAACAAAATTGAGAAAAATACGACTACGACGAATGTGCGAGAGCTGCAAGTGGATGTCACCACATCTATAGCCACATCCATGGGCACATCCATAGCCACATTTGCAGTCGCAGGGGCAGCAGAAGCAGAAGCACCACCAGCAGCAGCCTCATCAGATCAGAAGCCTAGCCAGCAGATGCCGCACATACCAAGGCGATACAGACACTCTGGGAGCAGTCGAGTGGAGAAGTGGTGCAGCGATGCGGCGGTTGGTGGTTGGTGGGGCAGCCAGGAGATGCCAGGCCCCAGCACAGTGGGGGTCAATAATATAGCTACCTATTCTATTACATTTATTTTTCAATAAATAAGTGTATGCTAGTAATTGAAAAAACAAGGATCAATGAACTCTAATAAAAATAATTTTATTTTAAAAGATTAGTTGTGTTAACCTTCTCACAGCATCTAATGTTCATCAAATATCTTTAGTCAAGGCCAACACTACGTATGAGTAATTTATATGGATCACAAAATAACAGGCTTAGTTGAAAAAAAAGAATAATCCTTCAATGTTTTAAGTTAGATTCACATTTTTAGGTTCATATCAATCGGACTATTGTTATAATCTCCAGTTAAATTATATTTTACTGCCAATATTTCCAATAGGTTCTCCCCTAAAAGCATGCAATGATTTTTAAGATCTTAAAGTCAGATAATGTATACCGCTTATAAAACTAAAATAAAATGCTTTTATAAGTTATTAAAATACCATTTTCTGTAAAAGAATATTCCTTGCCCTTAAAGGATTCTGAAACCAATATAAATAGAAATTCTCTAATTTATCATTTATAATTTCAGCCAAATCAATAGTCCTTTTTTGCTGACCGCTGCTGTGGGGACTGCCACTCCGACTGGGATGCGATGGATTGGGGGCCAAGGAGCTCGGAATGGCCGCGGGGAGGGCAGGGGAGGGCAGGGGAGGCCCGGGGCGGCCTAACTGAGGGACATTAAGCGACAAATGAATGTGCGCGACGATCGACGCAAGAAGATGAAGCGGCGACTGCGACGACGACGATCGCCAAGAGCAGACGAGATGAAATGCACCAAGTTCCGCGGAACGAAAAATTTGCAACAAAATTGGGCAGTAAAGCGTCGGCAGTGCGGTATTGTGGGTAGGGGTATGGGGATCAGGAATGGGGGATGAGGATCGCTTCCACGACTCTTCCAGATGAATGGGCTCTGCGGCTGACGCTGATGAGACAGTCGAGTCGCAGCCAGGCTGGCTGCCGTTGCGTAGAGGCGATTAATTGCTTTTAACGATTCAAAAATTCAAAATTACTTTTTATGCTTCACGCACACCAAGGCGAAAAGGCACTTGGCGAGCATAGCTCAGCACACATTCAATGCACTGGGAGAAATTGGTGAAATAAATTTTAAGCATTTCGGAGGGATTGTTGTCCTTTAAAAATAAATAACCGAAAATGTTCTCTTGAAGCAAGAAATCAATGGATTTTACCTTTCAGTAATTTAAGTTATTATATTGATTTTATTATATTTTTTTTTATAAACTATATTGTACCAAAAAAAAAAAAAAAAATTTCTAACCCATAATTTCTTTGAGTGTACATACAGGGGAGTTGTTAAGGAGGGCAGCAGATGGAAATGGGGATGAGGATGATGGGGGGCACTAAGATCCGGATCGATTTCGTTGACGTCGTTGCTGTGATAAATCGTTGGTGGTTGCTGCTTCTGTTGGAGTGTTGCTTTTGTTTTGCCTCCAGTTGCAGCTCCGTATCCATCTGCAACCCCTCCCCTTCCCCGATTCCTGATCCTCCATTTGGGGCTTAGTACAATGGCAATCCGGCGACAATGGCCAGCAAACTCAAAGCAACAGCAGCAGAAGCAACAACTGTGTGTAATATGATGCAAATCGTTTAACACTTTGACCAACAGCAGCAACGTCATCGCATTGTTGCCTTTGCCTCTGCCAAAGTGCATTGGTGGTAAAAAAAAAAAGAAAATAAAAAACGTTAATGTTCCAAGAGGGGCAAGTAACAAAACACCAGCAAGGGGGCAGGGGAACAATCATCAATTTTGGGGGCCAAGCCAGAACGGCGAGATCAAATTGAGAAGTTCGATGGTCTCGCAGGGCGTGGGGAGCTCCACATTACCCACGATCATTGCTGAATCACAGTTATCCATAATGTAAATATCAACTGAATGTTTACTGTTGTGCATTAAAAGAAATCGTGAAGTTCCCTTCTCAAATATCATGAAAATAAAGTATAGTATGCGTCAGAAGTCAACGCTTTCGATGCATGCAAATTTATAGCCTAAACAATTCATCATCAGCAAGTATTTAAGTATTTAGAAATATTAATTATTTAAGAGTGAATATTTTAAGTTTGAAATCTATATTCTGTAAATGAAGATCCAATAAAACACTTTAAAAAGAGCCAGAAACTTGAGAAACCATTTAGCCAATTTGAGATGACCTAGCTTCCCCATGCTAGAAACTTGGTATCGTTCCCTTTGTTGTCAAGTGCGGTATCCCCGGATCACATTGTGCCATTTAAGCCCGCGAGGAAATCCAAGCACTACCAATGGAAGCCCATTTATGGGGTTCAAGCACCCAGCTGGGCATGTGCTCAAGCTCAAGCTCAACCGGAGCGAAACGGAGTAGGATGTGTGTCCATGGCGGTGTCGGGTTCTACGTCAGGTTCCGAACCCGAAGCCGTGCTCAAGGTTCAGCGATATGATATGTCGTGTGTACATTCATACTCGTACTTCCGATTATAGAATTGTCTTAAAAATCTCCCCTGGGCGGTCTCATCTCAGAGCTTTAAGTCTATTTGAAAAGTTCCGAAGATATGGCAGATAGGATTTTTAATATTATAAGTTATAACTGAAGTGTTTAAAAATTAAATTGCTTTTTGTTTATGAAAGGATGCAGTAATATTGGTCTTATGCTACTTTCCAAATTTTAATCATATTTGATAGATTTCATGTTCGATTTTACGCTACTTTTCAAATTTTAATCATATTCGTTAGATTTTATGTTCGATTTTGGGGATAGATGTTTCTTATCGAATTTATTTTCTCAGTGCTATAAAGGCAAAAACGCCGGTACCCCAAATGTCCGGCTAAGAGAGCTTTCGCCGTGTGAAAAGAGATGTGGCCGCATGTCACCCGTGCACTATACTATCCTATGGGATCCATATCCATCCCCTGGGGCACCCCTATACCACCACCATCCGCAATTAGCACGCAGGCAATCTCATTTACGCCGACGGAATTGCGCAAATGGCGAGCAGTGCGAAACACTTTTTTGGGTACTCACGGTAATGGAAACACTTTCGGGGGAAACACTTTCGGATGCACTGGCTCCACACTGCGATCTCGTACGCCTACGCAGCCGGAGCGCCTTCTTTGATCGCCTGCTGCCACTTTATTGTTTAATTCGCCGCGCACTGTTCCGATTTCCGTTCCTGGGAACTGGAAACTTGGAGCCCGATCCAATCCAAAACTGAGGACAAACCGAAACCGAATCTAAATCTGAATCAGAAGCAGAATCAGAATCTCAAGTGGGAGCTCTTTCGTGCGACCGTTGCGCTGCAGCCGCCAAGTGACACACTGAACGCCACGGACTCGGACTGCAGGGCTCGGGCTCCAATTCTCCCGTTCTCCCACCGCTCTCTCTCGCGCACAGTGGGCGATTTTGAATTCACTTAGTTTCTATATATTACCAAAATAATAAAATAAAACTTTGTATTTATATACATTTTATTTAACATTTGAATTACCTAACTTAATTTCTCTCAACATAATTAAGAAAAGGTTTGAATCAAATTTTGTTTTTACGACGAAATATTACGACAACTTTAAAAAATAAAATAAATAAATACACCTCGCGAATTCGTAAGCTTCATGATTATATTTATACCCGTTACTCGTAGAGTAAAAGGGTATATTGTATTCGTGCAAAAGTATGTAACAAGGAGAAGGAAGCGTTTCCGACCCCATAAAGTATATATATACTTGATCAGGATCACTAGCCGAGTCGATCTAGCCATGTCCGTCTGTCCGTCTGTCTGTCCGTCTGTCCGTCTGTCTGTCTGTATGAACGCTGAGATCTCAGAAACTATAAAAGCTAGAAGATTGGAATTTTGCATGCAGATTTTAGGAGTTCCTACGCAGCGCAAGTTTGTTTCAAAATGGTGCCACGCCCCTTCTAACGCCCACAATCGCTTATATACGATTTAAAAAATTTTAATATTTTGGAAAAGTAAAAATGCAGTTTTATTGTGTTTATCAATACCTATCGAAATGTAGAAGAAATTTTTCAAATCGGACCATTCGTGTAAAAGTTATGCGTGATCAACGTTTTCTATCTCTATCTCCATCTCCCTCGCACTCCCTTTACCTGAGTAACGGCTATCTGATAGTCGGGGCACCCGACTATACCGTTCCCTCTTGTTTCTGAATATATTTTTTAGTTATTTGTTCCACTGTGCTGTGCTCCACTTGCTTTTCTTACTCCCTCTCCTCTCAGCATCTTTCGGTCAGTGTGTGTGCCAAAACAGAGATCTCCACCTCCATCTCCTTCTCCGCCTCCCTGTTACTCTCGCTCTGCTCTCCCTTTCTACTACTACGATGCCGCGCCTCCCTCATTTTCATTCAAAATTTCATTAAAGGATGCACACACGCACGCACGCACACCCACACACACACCGGTCTGTTGATTTGCATGCACCAATTACTTTATTTTCGTGATTACACATTTACACTGTGATTACAACGGGAACCTGGAAACAGATTAGGTTCTGATCGTTCGCATCCTTGGATTCCCACAACATGCTGCCTTTCATCTGCAACACAGAGGGAAATGTTGGGGTAATTTTAGATTGGTTCGAAAATATGTATTTCAAATTGAATATCTTTTGATATAAGAAAATATGTATTTCAAATTGAATATCAAAAGATATTACCATGTATTTCTTTAATTTCAATATATATATTTTTGAATATTTATTTGTTTAAAGTTAGATTTTTAACTAATATTACAAAGGAAACTGTAAAAAATTTAAATTTGAATATGTTAAAATATCTTTTGTATTTTATTTGAATTTATAAGTAGATTCTAAACTTACCACCGGAAGAGTTTCGTTTACATAGACGTTGGCCCAATAAGCCTTGCCATCACTCGCGCTTTCTATACATCCATGATCCCCGTCGCAAGGATCAGGAGTTATGGCCGCCGTGGTCTTTATGTAGTTGAACACCCATCGTACTTCGTGCTTAAGAAAGGATACGCCATTGCCTGTAAAAAACATTTATTAGTCAGATTTATAAAGTGAAAGTTTCCGAAAAATATCCTCAAAAAAACCTTAAATATTATTAAATTTATGTGTACTATTATTTTGGCCCCAGGTGTACTATTGTTTATAAGTATCCAAACTCTGTTCCAATTATCAGAATCTGTTTTGCATGCTCCCTTTAATCTTAATGTTTGGCCAATCTTTGTTATAGCCCCCTATCGGGTATTGGTACTCCAAATGTTCGATTCGTGCTGAGATCAATCGCTTCGATTTCGTCTCCATTTCTGCTGATTCATCAAAATATCATTAAGCATTCATTATTTTATTTATGAACCGACTTTGGGGCGGGGCCCCGGGCTGCAATCGATGTCAATATCGCAACGACTGCATCGAGGTAAACAGTAGTAGAGCAGCAGGAAATTTGGTGAAATTTCGTAGATTTACAATCTTGGATCAATTATATTTACGGCAGGTGCTTATCGCTATTGCCATCATCATTTGAGCACGCAGTGGCTGTTCCACTACCGAATACTCTGGGTTTTCGGGGGGTTCTAGGTGTTCTATACATCCGCCATCCACCTGATCGAAATTCGAATTTCGCCCGCACTAGATCTATTTTTGTTTCCGACTGACTTTTGCTCACAGAAAGCGAGGAATTCCGAATGCACGGATCTGGTGTTATCAGTGCGTTTGCGTTGAAACATTTGTACTTACCATTATCATCGAAGCGCACGGTAACCTTAATGGTCGCTTTTCGGGCCATGGAGCAAGGCAGTGTCGTACAGCTCTCGATCTCCAGGTAGCTGACCTGGTACAAAGAGCCTGAAAAAGAGGAAGAAAATAATATTCAATTAGTTTGGGTTAAAAATAATAAACTTATGAAAATATGCTGTCTTCTATAACCTTTCTTTTAAAGTAGTATAATCTTAGTATTGGGAACACCCAAGTTAGATAAATTCTTATCCTGAAGCAAACATTGATTACGTGACATTGTACATGCCACTTCCACCTACATGGCAACAAATTAACAATTTAGCTTTAATAAAAAACTTTCACAGCAACTAAGCTGAGTTATCTGCGATCGACACAGACGTACACCTATATAATCACAATAATCTACAATCTGTGACCAAGTGCACTTCTCAAGGCCTTCAAACAGTTTCTATCTTTAAAATGAACCATGTTCAGCTGTAGATTACACCATTCACTTAATGAAGTTCTTTAATTGATTACTAAGCTCTATCCTCTCTGGGGCGTTTGCCTGTCTATCAACGTACCAGGTAATCCCCCATAAGGGCGTCATATCGGTTTGTTTACAGTTCCTCCAATCTAGAACATAAATCATTGATTTACTGAGCACAGTCCATAAATACTCCATTTAATCAAAAATCGTAAAAACCAGAATTCAATTAGTAGACTGTGGACTGGGAAACTATAGAAGGTTGACGAAGTTTTAATGCTCTTAAATAAACCAAACGAGGTGCCTAATTAAAAATAGTTTTCAATTTATTTTTGCATGGCTACAAACTGATTTAATAATCTTGTTTTATAGACCCTAAATCAGATTTTGTTTTAGTTTCGATAAGAGACCTGACCCAATGAATCACTTTTTACCATATCAAAAAATTTATAATGCATACAGATCATTTTCGTTGATGTCATTCGAAACCTATTTTCAAAATATAATCTGATAGTAGTTTTCGATTGATTAATTATGGTAATATATCATAAATTCTATTTATCATATCACGCCGTATATCATTTGCGCGACACAATCGGGGAAATACCCTTTATGGTAGTTGTATTTTATTTAAAGAGTGTAATTTTGTTTGCGGAAGCAGCAGTTTAAGTCAGGTGAGATTGGGCTCAATGGTATTTACAATGGTCCTAATCAAAATACTTACTACTCGATGACGCTACAAAATATTTAATTCATAGAACTTGGGTTGATCTCTTTTTTCGAAGATGGTCGGTGAGGAGCGATCATGAAAATATAGAAACTAATGAAGCCTGTTTTTTCTAGATTGGATTTTGTGGTAGGTCGATTTTTAAATGGATTTTTGTAAATAAGATAAAATTTAAAGGTAATATTTAAATTTCTGGGAATTAAGTTTAGTATTTCCTAACAAATCGACCCACCGGAAATCCCTGATTCTTGGTTTTACTCACCGCAGTCTTCGAAGGGCAGAGATCTTAGGGAAAGGTATTTATTGTAGACAGCATCTCTGGTGTCCTTTAACGTTCCGCCGGCAATTTGCTGGACAGCGCAAATAAACAAGAGTATTTTTAGGTAGTAACCCATAATGAAGGCGCCGTACATGGCTTTTAATCAAATCTTCGGGATCTCGATTCGCGATTTGATTAGAATATCGGGCAAACGCGTTTCGCGGAGGTGTGCAAATAGCTTCCAAATGTCAAAAACAATAACAAAGGGGTTCGATAATGGGGATCACGGGCTGGCAACGTTTCTTTGGGGCGATACGATTGGCTTGGTGGCTAATAGGTGACTGACACCCAGAATAGTGAGTCCCACCAAAAGTAGCCGGGCCGTATAATTGGCCTCTCTTCGATTGGAGAGAGGTAAACGTAAATAAATAAATACTTCTCGGGCGCTTGGGCCATAAACTTTGATTTATTGACTGAGAGCCGATTGGAGCAACTAACGCTGACTTTCGCTCCGCTTCTGACTGATAACGATTCACTCTGAAGATTTGGCAAGGGGACGTCCGTGACGTCGCCTGGGGGCTTGTGTGGGTCTAGGGAGTGGGTGGTTGGGCACGCGGGCACGCGTGTGAGTAGCGCCTATAAATACCGCCAAATAAATCAAGAGCCTGTGTCGATGTGTAGATAAAAGTAACCAGCCACTTGACTTTAATTGAAAGTTAAAGAACATAGCGAACCGTAATTAAATATTATTAGATAATGTCCCCTTCAATATATCAATTTAATCCGCAGACAGCACCGCGCGAGGTGGAAAATTTCGGAATGTGACTCATTCTGGTGGCAAAACTCCACTCCTCACTCGATAATGCCCTTCAGGTAATTGGTGTTCTTGATGATCCTGAAATCGGTGCGCAGCTGAATGAATTGCCGCACCACCGACTTGTCTAGGTAATTCTAAAGTGGATGAAATAATAGTAACATAAGACAGACAGTCGAAATTAAAGACACCGCACACACTTACCAGAGTGTCGCCCGTGCAAACCTCTTGGAGGTTTTGCGGCTTAACAAGTAATAGATTGCACAATGCATGCAGAATGTCAAAGAGCTGCGTCACCAGCGGACTATCCAGCTCGCGAATGCATTTGCGATACTCGTTCACGTCGCAAATGGCGCACATGGCTCCGGCCGTGTTGAACTGCATGGTCTGGAGATGATCATAGATCACCCGGTGCAGACGAGTTCCAAATTCGGTCAGCACATTCTGGAGGTTCTCTCCATCAACGCATTTCTTGATCTGTACGATGACGGGCTGAAGATTCTGAACGACTTGCAGGCAGGCCTGGAAAATATAATAGGAACTATTATATAAAAGCTCTTTATAAATAAAAATATATATCCTACCGCCGAGGAAATGGTATCCACATCAGTCTCCGGCTTGTAGTCGGTTTTCTTTTGTTCATACTGCAAGTAGACCTTGACCCAGCCAATGACAGCGCTGATGGAGCGGTCCAGACCCTGATCCAGCTTGGTCTCGATCTGCTCCATCAGAATACGCTTCTTGAACACATAGTCCGAGTATTTGGGCGTGTTGCTAGAAAAAGAAAATACATATGTTCAAGTAAAATGTAATTTAACAAAGTAAATCACATAGTTACCTCACACAGGGTATAACAGATGTGTGGCACAGCTTGTCAAGCAGATGAACAATGATATTTGTCTTTTGCACCACGTCAAAGAAGTACAGTTGGGGAAAGACCCTGCCCTCGGCCAGCGGCACCGCCTGCAGGCCCAATTCCAAAGCGTAATCCACATGCTCGTGCATAAGGAACCTCAGCAGAATGTCGTTGAGCTTGATGGCATTGCCGGGTAACTCATTCTCGTTGGACAGAAGACGGCAGCGTTTTAGCGAGGCCTTCGCCTCCTGCAGCATGTTGATGGCCAGCTCCTCGGAGAGGAACGTCTCGCCGCCATAGTCCTCGATCGCGGCAATATTAATGTTGGCCCGCGTGGCTATCAGCACCTCCATGTTGCGTCGAAAGCCCTTGGTGGTCGCCGTCTTCTGGTGCTTCTTGCTGGCATAGAACTTCTCCAGCTCCGTGGAGCACTTGGCTGTTAGGCACTTGGTCTCCATTTCGGCGTAGCCAGCCAAATGCTTCATGAAGATCTGCTGCGTCAGCTTCTGCAGCAAGTCGTCGTCTATGGTGGACATGTAGACTTGCAGATCCGTGGACAGTTTCAGTGTGCTGTTTTGTTTTAAAAATATATTAATATCATAAATGGAATACTATGTTAGTTACATACCGTGAGTACAATTCGTAGAGGGTTCGCAGGTATTTCTCCTCGTCTTTTTTGTCTTCCAGCTTGGTCATCGCGTACTGATGCAGCTTCAGCTGGTAGATGTTCAGTATAAACTTGGACATGACCTGCTGCGGATTGGCAAACACCTTCTGGATGATCTCGTAGTGGTGCTTGCACAGTGGCACAATGCCTATGAAGATGTCCTTGCCGCTGTATGGCTGCATTTGGCTCTGCTCGATGTACGCGTCCACGCACTGCGTGTAGCCCTTGAACTGGGACAGGATCTGGGCCAAAGTCTTCATGCGCTCGATGTCCTCGCTCTTCTGGGCGGTGGCAAACTCTTCGATCAGCCGCCGTTCAACCTCGTCGTACTTCTTTTCGATCTTCCGCTTGGACTCGGCAAAGTTCCCCGGCGGCAGATCCTGCGAGATGGCATAGAGCTTCTGGATCACATCGGCGGCCTCACTTAATCGAGCGGCATCCGCAAAGATATCATTTACAATCACTGGGCCGGCGGCCAGAAACTCGGACATAAAGTTGAGCAACTTCTGCGCCTCCACGGAGCGACTGCGCGGCGTGTTCACGTTCTCCAGCTGCTCGCCCAGGTGCATTATCTTGCCGGCCACCGAGTTGATCTTCTCGTCCAGCTGGCCAAACACATCGATGGCCGTTTGGTGGCGTTCCTGCAGCTTGGCGATTTTCTTGGCATGCGACTCCTTCTCCTGGCGCAGCGACTCCTCGAGCCGTTCGCACTTGCTCTGCTGCTTCTCCTGCAGGATCTTCAGGTCCTTGATCGTCTGGATGAAGGTGTCGTGAAGGGCCACAGGATGGAAATCCTCGCTGTTCTGCAGCTCGTTATTCGTGCGCCAGGTGAGGCGTTCTATGAACTCGCCCACCTCAAAGGGCTCCTGTGGGTTGTGGTTGATAAACTAAAACACTAAATTCAAGATAAATAACTAGTTAACCCACCTGTTCGAACTCCTCCATGTATTGGGACAGCATTATATAGTTTTCTGATTTTCCAGATGATCTGATTTATAGGCGTTTCTTTTGTTCTTCTTCTTCCTATTATTATTGTTGCTTCCGCTCAGCTGTTCTCTTTGGCGTTGCCACTCTGGTAAAATTTCTCTCAGCTGGCAATGCCGCGCGGTTTGTTTACGTTTTTGTTTGCACTTGGCCAAAAAATTCAAAAGTTTGGCGCTTGTTATATAACTGCAGTAACTTTTAAGTTAACTCAATTAAAACTCATATTTTATGCTTGCTGAATCTTAATTAAATGTTTATTATAATGTGAATGCGCGCCTTACTTATTGCCTCGTATCAAAACCATTTTTTTTTACAACAAATTGCAATGTGCTAAACAAGTTAAAATTTCAAACATTAATATTTTGTATAACCTTTATAATTATTGCGTGGAGTCAGCGATTTATTAAACCTTAGTTACAGTTTTGAACTGAATATGAAAAAATATGAAGAACCGATAACGTTTTTTTTCTTGATTTTCTGTTTGTAGCTGGCTTTACCCCAAAAAGACATTTGTTTAGCAAAAGGAAAGGAAAGCTAGTTCTTTTTTACAAACTGCGCCAGCTGCTCCTGCTGCAGTTGCTCCTGCTGCTGCTGCTGCAGGTGGAGATGCGGGTGCGGATGTGGGTGGGTGAGCGTTGGGTGACCGCTGATGCCGCCGGAGGTCGACGGCAGGTCCAAGGCGTGCGGCACGATGTTGATGGCACTGGCGGTGCTGGCCGAGGTGGCCAAATCCACGGCCGGCAGACGCACTCCGTCCTCGAACTGGGCGCCGGCGGCCAGGCTGCTCAGCACCTCGGGCATCGAGGGTGTGTCCACCAGCTGCTGCAGGTTCTTCAGCTCCGTGGAGCGCAGACTGGCCGAAAGACTCTCGCTGGAGGCCAGCGAAGTGGACAGCGGTGAGTTGCGCTCAATGGAGGAAGCAATGTCTGTGTGGGAGTCATCATTAGCTAGGGATTCAGGAGAAGCTGTCGCCCACTCACCAGTTCTGTCCGTGTCAGGGGAGCAGGTGTTGTGACCTGCTATCCCCTGCGGCTGCGCCATCATCATCATCAGCTTCTCCTCCATCTGCATGATAATCTTCTTCTGCACGTCGTATTTCTTGTTCACGGACTGCAGGAATGAGTGTATTTTATGATAAATATATTGTAAAGGTGAATATAACCTATTAAATACCCGTTACTCAGCTAAAGGGAGTGCGTGGGAGATGGAGATATTCCACTTTGATCGGGCATAACTTTTTAACGATTGGTCCGATTTGAAAAATTTCTTCTACATTTCGATAGGTATTTATAAACACTATAAAATTGCATTTACACATTTTTAAAATCTTAAAAGGTGTGATTGCCAGACACATTTAAAAATCGTTTGTGGGCGTTAGAGGAGGCGTGGCGCTCGGCTGAAATAAACTTGCGCTGCTTAGCAAGCCCAAGAATATGTGTTGGTAATCCCAACTTTCTAGCTTTTGTAGTTTCCGAGATCTCAGCGTTCATACGGACGGACAGATAGTTATAAAATCCCATTTCCTCCATTTAATTTTTAGCAGACTGTAGCCCTTACCTTGAACTTTTCCTCGTACTCATCCTTGACCGTGCTGAGAAGTCGCTTCTGCTCCGTCATGGCCTTCTCGCTGTTGACCAGCTGGGCCTGCAGGTCGCTGATCTTGTGCTTCATGCTCTCCAGCTGTGATGTCTTCTCGTCCAGGCAGTGCCTCAGTTCTAAATAAACAAACAAGTATTAATTAAACAATCTTAAAATACAAACAATATACAAACCCTTCAGTTCCAGCTGGCTGCTCTCGTGCAGCATCTGCAGCTCCTCGTCGCGGGCCCTGAAGTTGTCGATCTCGGCCAGGCGGTCGCGGCAACGCACCTGCACCTCGCCCATGATGATGAACTCGGCCTCCAGGCGCGCCAGCTCCTGCTTGCACTGCAGTCCCATGTCCGCCTGCTGCTGCGTGTGCTGCAGTTCGGTGCCCAAACTGAAGACCTGACCGCGCAGCGACTCCAGTTCGTAGTTCATCTCCTTGTGGCGCGCCACCTCGCTGGTGAGTCGCGTCTGCAGGTCATCGTTGGCCTGCCGCAGGCACTTCTTCTCCTCTAGCTCGTGCTGGTACTTGGACCTCATCTCGCTGAGTTCCTCCTGGTGAAGGGTTTGTCTCTCATTGGCCAACCTTATAGCCTGATCCATCTTCCCAGCCAGATCCTTGTTCTTCGCATCGAAGTTCTTGAGCTGCTCCCTCAACCGATCCCGCTCCATTTCCAGGCTGCGCTTGTCCCTGCTCCTTCCCATGAGCCTTCGATTGCGCTCCGCGTGTATGGACCGCCTGTAGCTCTCGTACTCCAGCTGCAGGCACATCAGTTGGCCCTGCTCGGCGTCGAAGGTCTCATTCGCCTTGATCGCATGCTTGATGTACTCATCCAGGATGTCCTGCGGGTAGAGAAGGCTTCGCTCGTAGTTATTCCGCTGCTCCTTGCACTCCAGCAGCAGTTCAATCAGCCAATTCTCGTACTGCGCCGGCGCACTGTCCACTCCCTCGACCGTCTGGGTGGCGGCATGGGCGCAGCTTCTGGCCGGCTCCTTGGGCGCCGAAATGGCCAGAATGCGGCCGCTCCTCTGCAGCCGACTGCCAGTCTTTTGCTCCGATCTCTGCTGTCTCTGTCCCCCTGGACAATCGGCCTCGTCGTCGTTTTCTTCCATCTGCTGCTGCCGCATTCCGGCCAACGCGGAACAGGACTTGGTCCTTCGCATTGGATTCTCCGCGCTCTCCACGCTCCAGTTGGCCTTCTTGGCCGCGGAGCTTCTGCTGTCCGCGCAGCTGTCATTGCCACTATAACTGGCCATGCGATTGCGACGCTTCTTGGCCAGCTGATGCATAGAGCGACTGGTGGGCATGTGCAGGCCTCCCACGCTGCACAGGCTCCTCTCCGTCTCGTTGCACTCGCCGCAAACGGCGGGGAACTCCTGCTGGCTGACCGGTGGATAGACGGCAGCGAGTTCCGAGTTTCCGATTTCCGGCATGCTGCTGGGAAAGGTGGCGTTTTGCCTGTCCTGCATGACCTGTTGCAGGCGCCGCTCGTAGGTGGTCGTCACCCGGGTGACTTCCAGAAAGGACTGACTGCTCTCCTCCGCCTCGCGACTGACATCCGGGAAGCTGAACTGACTCTGCTGCTCCTTGCGCATCGGAGAAGAAGGCTGGCTGGCTGCGAAAATAGCTCTCACTGCATGGGAGTTGACCGCTCGGCCCGGCTGCTTGATGTCCCTTAAATCTTTTAAAGGCGTCGTCTCCGGCGTGGCCTCCACAGCTGCCTCAGGTGGCGAGGAGCCCGTCATGCCCACCATTAGCTGGGAATTCATTGCCGGCTGCAGGGGCAGAATAAACGAAGTGGTGGGCGTCAGCGGAATGGCGCTACTCGTAGAGGCTATCTCGTTGTGCGGACTCCAGATGGGACCCAGTTCCCCGCCAGACGAATCAAAGCGGGCGTAGACATTCCTCGACTGCTGCAACTCCCTCAGCTGGTAGCTGTAGTCCGTGTTCGAGGTGTTCGAGGTCATGCGACTGTAGCCCGGGGTCATGGGATACGCATAGCTGCCGTCCTCGTTGCTCGCCTCGGTCAAAAGGACGGGCAGCGATAGATTGGCGCACTCCATGACCACGTCATGCGGCTCCATCTCCTTCCAGCGCGTATTGTTCACCTCGGTCTCGGGAGTCGCAGTCAGCAGCATAGGATGAACTCTCACCGTGTCCAAAAGCGGCTTTATTGTGTGCTGAAATATCCCTCCGCCGTTGCCCCGCTTGATAAAGTCCACTAGATACGCCATAAAGCTGCAGGGATACATTCCATACAGGCGGTGAAACAGCATTTGCAGACCCAACTGCAGGTGGACGAGCTTCTCGTCCGGCATCTTGGCGCTATTTTGCAGCTTCCACGAGGCCAAGTGTCCAAAGACCTCGAACAGATCGTTCAGGAAATTGGGCACCGAGTTGGGGATGATCGGCAGCAGGGTGATGATGCACAGCAGGGCGCTCATCAGCGGCACAATCTCCTTCTCGTGCTGCGGGGAGAGGAATAGGATATAGAGTGGAATATATAACTATATATATAACTCACAGTGAGCAGCTTAAACACGCTCTTGATCAGCCGGTGCTTCTCGATCTTGTACAGCCAGGTGGGATGGTGGCGCACGATGAAGCAGAACACCTGGAGGCTCTGCACGCGGTGCTGGGACTGCTTCAGGCAGTCGTCCAGCCGGTCGAAGATGAAGCCGTCGTGCGGCGCCTGTGCCTTGACCAGCACCTCCAGAATGCGCTGAGATCCGGTCTTGAAGAAGTAGTCCAGCATGAACTGCACCACCCACTGCTCCTTGTCTGGAAGGGGAGGGAAGTGGTAGATATGGAATATGTGGATTTGGAAAGACTCACTCTGGGTCAGCAGCTCCACCAGCTTGCGCTTGGCCTCCTCGTTCTCCAGCGTCATGTTGGACTCCAGGTCGCCGATGATCTTCTCTATCACCATGGCTGCAATTGATTTTTCCGCCCGCTGCTCCTGCTACTCCTGCTACTCCGCTCCTGGTCCTTCCTTCTACTCCACTCACTCGTCGTCGTGGTTTTCTTTGGCAGAGCTGCGTGTGCTTTTTCTCGTCTTGGTCGCTGTCAACTGGAGAGGAAGCGTTCGGCATTGAATTTCGGTGCCATGCGATTCGTCACTCTATAGATTCGGTTTTGGGCTACCTATAGCCATGCTTACCTCTGCTAAACTCATAGTTTTTTACATTTTTGTCGAAGAAAAATGAAAAAGGTTATTTTTTTGTGATATTTCTCTTGCGCTGTTATCGCCAGCCAATCGATTGGAAGCCAATCGGCGAAAGTCTGGCAGCACTGGCCGCAATCAAAACAACATCAGCTGTTTTGGCGCAACTTTTTTGCCGTTCTTTCCGGTAATCCGGTAATAATAATAAAAAAGATAGTTAATTTAATAAAATGCATTACTCAATTATAAGAAGACTTGCAACGCAACCCAGGTTGGCCAATGTTCCTAAGAGGTATGTTAATATTTTAAAAAATACTTATGGCTATTGTTTAACACTAGGTTTATTTTAGGAAATGGAAAAGCGTAGTGGGCTTGGAGGTCCATGCACAGATATCCAGTGCATCCAAGCTTTTTTCCGGCAGTGGAACATCCTTTGGAGCACCTTTAAACTCCTCCGTGGCCTACTTTGATGCCTCCATACCGGGCACTTTGCCGGTGAGAAGGGAATCTTACAGTTAAGATGACCCCATTACTTGTAATACCTCTTTTCAGGTGCTCAACAGGAAGTGTGTGGAATCCGGCATTAAAACATCACTGGCTCTTGGCTGTCGGGTGAATGAGGTGTCTATGTTTGACCGCAAGCATTACTTCTACGCGGATTTGCCAGTAAGAAGGGGTAAAATACCCTGTAAAACACCAAACTAACCTGATAATCCTCCCCAGAATGGCTACCAAATCACCCAGCAGCGAGCTGCTCTAGCGAATGATGGAAAGATGACTTTTCCAGTAATAACACCAGGCAAAAAAGTCTACTACAAAACAGCCAAACTTCTCCAATTGCAATTGGAACAGGACAGTGGAAAATCCCTGCACGATGACTATCTAAAGAGGAGCTTAGTTGATCTCAATCGTGCTGGTCTCCCACTGATGGAGCTTGTTTTTGCCCCAGATCTGGAAACGGGTGAAGAGGCGGCCTCTCTGGTCAAGGAACTAATGCTCATACTAAGACGTCTTCAGACCTGCAGCTGTAAAATGGAGGGTATGTCTATTCTAAACTATCTTTTCATCTTAAAATCTAAATTTTCGACCGTTAGAGGGAGCTCTGCGTGTGGATGCCAACATATCCATTCACCAGGAAGGCGATCCCTTGGGCGTACGCACCGAAGTCAAAAATATTGGCTCAGTTCGCAGCATTTCCCAGGCAATTACCTATGAAATAAACAGACAGTTGGAAACTGTGGCCAATGGCGGAGTGATTACCAATGAGACTCGCAACTGGGATGCGGAAAACCGGCGAACAGTGGCCATGCGTGACAAAGAAGTGCTGCAGGATTACAGATTCATGCCGGAGCCGAATCTACCACCTCTTCATGTTAACCTCAGGCCGGGCTCAAAGTCTACAGAGGATCTGCTTTCGGTGGCTGCTCTGAGCGAGGAAATTCCCGAATTACCCGAGGACACCAGGCAGCGTCTAATGGAGCAGTACAATCTGAATGCGGAAACTGCCATTATTTTAGTGGTGGGTATTTAGTTCTTCATTCTGTTTACCTTCTTTCATTAATAACACTTCCTAATTTTACTCCAGAACGAACCTATACTGCTGGATCATTTTACCAGCATCAGTCGTAGTTTAAATGAATTGCCAAAGAAAGTTATATACAATTTTCTTATCAACGATTTGCTGACCTACTGCAATAAGTTAAATTTGGATGTAGAAGATTGGTAATATCTTATTAAAATAATATAAACTAAGTGATCTCTTATGATTTTTCTTATTACAGCTCCGTAAAGGCTGATGATTTGAAGGATATATTACAGAACCTACACACTGAGCAGATTAATCTTCAAGCAGCACGACAGCTAATTGAACTGCTACACAATAATCCCAACTCCAAGAGTAGTGAGGTAATTCCTTTGAAACTATTTAATATTCAGAACTTAATTCCCATTTTCTTTCTTTTCCCAGCTCATTGAACTGCACAACCTGCAGCAGATTAGCAAACCAGAGGAGATCGAGAGTCTTTGCCAGCAGGCCATTAGCAACCAGCCCAAGGCAGTTCAGCAATACCAAAAGGGCAAGGCCAAAGCTTTGTTCGCCATTGTGGGCGAAGTGGCTAAGCTATCCGCCCAAAAGGCCAACATGAAGCTGGTAGTACAGTGCCTGGAAAAGCTTCTAAAACCCACCAAAAATTAAGAACTCACCTAAGATAGTTGTGTTCATTAGGAGTGTGTTTCTCTTGTATATATTTTATAAAACATGCAGTCGACAAACCGCACTGTATATAGGTTTAGATAGGCTAAGGATTAAATATAGTTGTTGCTTTGTTTCGTGCTGACTAGTTCGGTGTTCTGGCCAATATGTAAATGCAAATGATGTAAATTGTCGTGTTAGTTATGGTTCGGTGTTCTCCCTCGCTCAGGGAGAATCGGAACTCGTGACCCTTTAATGCATAGTTGTTAGTTGTGTGTAGATGAAAGGATGGCATCCGAATGCGACTGGATGGAACGCACTATATTCGATTGTCTAACAGGGCAGACAATGAACAGCTAGGATTGTACTAAGGCAAACGAAGGAAGGAAGCCTCTTCTAAATAAATGCAAATGGCAGTGAGCGTTAGGTCTTTTTGGCGGGATAAAGTTTAACCAAATCTCTAGTTCACATCGCTCTAGTCGCGATCATAGTCCCGGCAGGTCGAGGGAGGCAGGCTCATCGAAACGGCCGAATCGAGACTGCAAGTAAGTATTTGTTATATTAATTACTAATATTTAATGATTTTTAAACCCTCTCCAGACTCACCGACGACTCTCGCTCTCCAAGAGATGGGCATCCACCGGGTGCTGGGAAACATTGCGCAGGGAATCCCCAAGGGTGCTCCTCAAGTGCTGCATTTCCCTGTTGGCCTTTGAGCTGCGCAGAATATACTGTTGCCGTCGCTTGGCCTCCTGAGCCAACTGCTCGCGCAGCATGGATATCTATCAAATACAAGTTACTTATTTTTTGTATTACCCTCCAGAATCTGTGAAGATAACCCACCTGATTCTCCAGGCGAAGAACCTGCTGTCGGTGCGACTGTTCCCTGGCATCGAGTAGCTTCTCGGCGTGCATCTGGGCACTGCGATAGCGATCCCCGTCCAAGCCATCCGTGCACTTGGCGCTGTCATTCATACGCGCCTTGCAACGCGCCAACTCGGACTCCTTCTCGGCCAGCAGCGTCTCCAGGCGACGCACCTTGAGTCGCAGATCGCGGGTCTCCTGCTCGATCACACTGTGATCCAATCCGCAGTTGAAGGAGTTTCCTCCGCCGCCGGCATTACCACCTCCCACATCGTAGCGATTCGAGTCAAACTCCCCGGAATCTGCAGCTCCACCGTAATAGGAGTTGGACTTTTCGGCACGATCGTAGGCGTTTCCGCCGGAGAACTTGCTCTTCCGTTCGCATTCCAATTGCTTGACTTTGTCCTAAGGAAAAAAGGTTGAGTAAATGATTAGAAGCCATTAAGAATAAGAAACTATGGAGAAAGTATTTACAGACAAATTACGTTTACTTAATTTATATTCATAATATTTATCACCCCCACGCAGTGGAAAAAATATTTAGTTATTAATTACTTTGAAAGCCTTAAAGAATTAGAAACTATGGAGAAAGTTTTAAGAGAATTCTCAGGCAACACTACGTATACTTAATTTATAGTCTTAAAATTTATCACTCATACGCAGTGGAAAACATATTGAGTAATTGATTAGATTGAAAGCCATAAAGAATTAGTAAATAAGAAGAAAGTGTTAAAAAGATCTTGGGCAACACTACGTATACTTAATTTATAGTCCTAAAATTTATCCCTCATACGCAGTGGAAAAAATATTGAGTAAATGATAAGATTGAAAGCCATAAAGAATAAGAAACTAAGAAGAAAGTGTTAAAAAAAAACTTAAACAACACTACGTATACTTAATTTATAGTCTTAAATTGTATTATTGATTAGATTGAAAGCCACAAAGAATTAGAAACTAAGAAGAAAGTGTTAAAAAGATCTTAGGCAACACTACGTATACTAAATTTATAGTCTTAATATTTACTATAAAATAGGACCTATAAAAAACGGTTATTAGCCAATTTCACCCAAAACAAATTGCCATAAAAATCTAAAAAAATCACATTAATTCCTAAAATAATTAGAAGCCGCGTGTGAGGTTCAAATTAGAACAATAATCACTCATACGCAGTGTTGTCTACAGTTGATTTTAAAGCTTTTGCTATTGTAAAATTTGTGATAATTAACTAATTAATATTTCTTCCCACCTGTAGTGTCTGCAATTTACTGCGCAGCTCGGACTTCTCCCGCTGGGAAGACTTCAGCTGCCTGCTGAGCTCATCCTCGCCATTGCCGCCTCCGTTGCCATTGGTCAGCCCCTTGTCGCCGCCGCCGCCGCTCTCCTGATTCCACTTGGCGATGCGCAGCTGGGACTCCAGAGCCGATCGCTGAACCTCCAGATCGGTGACCTGCTCCTGCAACCGCTGATTGCCATCCAATTGGGCCTGCTGGCTGCGACGCAGCTCGTTGAGATTGGTCTGTGCGCTGTCCAGTCGCTCGGTGAGGATGCGCTTCTCGTTCTCCGCGGTCTGCAGCGACTTCTGGACCAGCTTCAGCTTATCCTCGTTGGCCTGCGAGCAGTGACCCTGTTCGGAGAGCTCCTTCTGCAGGGTTTTTAACTCACCCCGCAGTTGCGTTTCACTGACGGCGGACTTTTGGAGGCGCTCCTTCAGCTGATCCACGGTGGTCTTGAGAGCAGTGCAGCGATCCTCCAGTTGGGTGAGTGCCCGATTTTGATTCTCTAGCCGCTCGGCCATCTGACGGATGCTGCAGTCCTTCTCCTGCAGCGCCATTTGCAGCCTGGTTAGATCGCCCTCCATGGCCACACGCTGCAGATCCAGTTTGCTGGCCCTGCCCTCCACCTTGGCCAGTTCCTCCTGCAGCTGCCGCTTCTCGTTGTCCAGCTTGGCGCACTGCTGTCGGCTCTTCTCCAGCCGCTCCTCGTTCTGCCCGTTCTCCTCCGACGTGGCCGCCAATTGCATCTCCGTTTGGGCCAAACGTTCCCTTAACATCTGGCACTCATCGTTGCGGTGCTTGAGCTTCTCCTCCAGCGCCTGAATGGCCGACAGCTTCATCTTGCGGTCCGTCTCCAGATTGCTCTTCTCCTCCTGCAGATTCCGCAGCATGGCCTGCAGCTTGCCCAGCTTGGCATCGCACTTGAGTTGCTGCTCGGCGGCATCTTGGAGCTGCTTCTTGGCCGCTCCCAGCTGCGATTTGTAGTCATCCTTCTCGCGCTCCAACTGGGCCACTTGGTGCATCAGATTGCGAACACCCTTCCTCACCAGATCCGGATCCACATCGATGGGTCCGTCGGGACACTGCGAAGTGCTTCGGTTGTCGTAGTCCCCGCAACTGCGCGATGGACTGAATCTCCGCGAGGGACTGAGCAAACGATGGGAGAGATTCACACTGCCATCCACTTGGATTCCGGCAATCCGGCGCAGCGTGTGAACCACCGAGGAGAGCTTCTGTTCGGTGTCCCGCTTGTGCAGCTCCACGCAGGACAGCTGCTCATCCAGGGCGCGAATCCGACCTTCGGCTCCACCTAGTCGAGCCTTCAACTCCTGAATCTGCTGCGTGGCATCCGCCAGGCAGACCTCCAGGTTGTGCTTCTGATCCTCCAGCCGCTTCTCCCGGCCACGACCCTCCTCCAGTCGCTGGGCCAACTCCTGCTCCCGCGCATGGAAACGGTGCTCCTCCTGGTTGTTCTGACACCTCGCCCTGCCCAATTCCTGGCGGGTGGCGCACAGATTGGCCTCCAAATCGGACAGCTGCTTCTTGATCTGGCACAGCTCCTGCTGGGCCCGCTCCTTGAGCTCCACCTCGGCCACCAACTTGCACTGCAGCTCCTTGCCGCCCTCGTCCTTCTGGGCAAACTCCACCTGGGCCTTCTGCAGCTGCGCCTTGGTGGCACTGAGATCCTGCGTGGTTTTCGTAAAGTGATTCTCCGTCTCCTTGAGGATCGTACTCAGCCGGGTGCGTTCGTTCTCCAGCGAGTTCTTGGTGTCCTCCAGATTGCTGATCTTCTGCAGAGCCTCCTCGATGGCGCGTGCCTGCTCCCGCTTGGCGCTCTCCACGCGCTTCACATGGTCGCGCAGCTCCTTGTTGCTGCCGGAGTACTTGTCCCGCTCGATGTTGCTGTCCGCCAGTTGGCGGCGACAGTCTGTTAGCTCCTTGCGCAGACTGTCAATGAAACCTTCGCCTGAATAAGGAATTTTTAGAGAATTTCTAGTGAGGATTCAGTGGCCTAGTACTCACCCTCCTTGGACTTGCGCAGTGCATCCTGCAGCTCGTTGTTGGTGCCCTCCATTTTGTCCTCCTTCAGACGAATCTCCATCTTCAGCTCCTCACTCACACGGCACAGGGTGTCGCGCTCTTCCCGAATGCTACTCAACTGCAACTCCTGCTTGCGGATGCACTCCTCCAGCTTAATCCTATGGGAGATATTAAGTAGGGGAAAACACATATGTATTTCAATTAAGTGAAGCCTTGAATAAATCAACAGTATGTTTCGATCACCCCTCTTACTAAGAAATATTAAAATAGATAATCCATTGTATCAATTTCAAATCATTCAGAGATGATTCGAATTTTAAACCATTCAGAGATAATTCGAATTCCAAATCATTCAGAGATGATTCGTTTTTCAAATCATTCAGAGATGATTAAAATGTCAAATTATGTGAGCTTACATAAACGATGCAATATTTAACATCTTAAATATTTAAATTGGTGGCCCAAGGCAAGAATATAAAAGCCGCGAATTCTTTCGAAGGGAAATATTTTCAAAACAAGAAATATTAAAATAAAGAATCCATTGTATCGATTTCTACACGTTTCGAATCATTAAAATATGATTCGAATTTCAAATCATTCAGAGATGGATCGAATTTTAGATCATTTAAGCTTACATAAACGAAGCAATATTTTCTATCTTAAATATTTTTATTAGTGGCCCCAAGGCAAGGATATAAAAACCGCAAATTCTTTAGAAGGGAAATATTTTTAAAACAAGAAATATTAAAATAAAGAATCCATTGTATCGATTTCTACACGTTTCGAATCACTAAAAGATGATTCAAATATCAAATTATTCAGAGATGATTGGAATTTTAAATATTGTGAGCTTACATAAGCGAAGCAATATTTTCTACCTCAAATATTAAAAGGCAAGTATATAAAAACCGCAAATTCTTCAGAAGTGAATGATTAATAAATTAAGAAACCGCGAATTCTTCAGAAAATG